ATAAGTCTGGTCTAGGATAATCGCTTTTATTTCAAACCATTTCTTATAAAGTTTTTGCAAAAGCTATTCTTATAATAGTTACAAAAGCATAATTTGTAAAAGTAAGCCGTTTATATGCCTAGTAAATCATATTAAGAGGATTTTTTACTTGCCTAAATTGGAACTATCGACTATATCTTGCACCCAATTTATGAAAAAAGAAATTGTTTAAGATAATACGAATAGAATTATTGTTACCGAAAAATAATTACATCATTTTGTTGAAAAAAAGATTCAAAATATGCGTTAGATCCCAAAATATTACCATAGGGCTCAATAATAAAATAAGATAGTTCACAGATATGGCAAATTATGCAAAAATGCTTCCATTTGCTAAAATATGACGACTTAAAATCTTTTGCTCATTCTATGAAAAAAAGCTAAGAAAATATTTATGTAGCTAATGCCAACGAAAAAAAAATAGACAGTCGTTTATTGAAAAAGATTTCGTAATGCGTGAGTGTAAAATTTTACCCCAAGATTTAATAATATTTTTTTAGGTACGGTTAATTTTGTCACAATCGTTTTAAAAGGCTAAAATATAAGTTTTAAATTAACCTTCTCCAATTCAAAAATCTACTCACAACTTCGCGTTTTCTCCAATATCCCCATTTTTTTCCGTACACAAAAAGCAAGAACAACTGCAGACCTTATCTCATACTATTATCGGCACTAATTACAAATTTTGATAACGCTTAAAAATTCCAATTTCTTTTTTAACGTAATATTTTTTTCGTTTAAGATGGGAAGTTTTAATGTGTTTGTCAAATGCATAACAGCATCATTCTACCCGGGGAAAACTTGCTTAATTACCGGTATTTTCTTTTCAATATAAATCTTTAATTAATTTGAAACTTGAGCCTGCGATGAAACAATGATTGAAAGTTTTCCATTTTCGTCCTTTATAAATAATGCTAATGAAAGAAAAAATTCATCAAAAGAAAAATATAACCATAATGAGATAAATATGCAAATATTTTCTTTCCTAATGAGCAGGATTTCCATCTGAAACTCTTTTTGCATCAAAAACTCATTGTTTTCTGAGAACAACAGTTACTGTCTAGTAAAAGAATCTTTTTATTTTTTTATTTTTAGTTTACCATAATCACTCTCGAAATATACTATCTTTAAATGATGCTTTCGAATAGCATCGAAAGAAAATAATAGCTATGAAAACGCTTAGCACAAGCGGTTGCTTGCAAATAAAAACACACAATAAATGGAATAATTTAATGATTAAAAATTTTTAAAAAGCTTATCACAGTTGAAAATACACTCGAAATTTTTAAAATAGATATATCAATTCATATATATTATCAATCAATTATGATATATTATATATTAACAATCAATTATGATATATTATATATTATCAATCAATGATGTATTATCAGTCAATTATGATATATTATCAATCAATGATATATTATCAATCAATTATGATATATTTTTAAGATTAATATATCAATTAATTTGTAATAGATGAAATTTTTTTAATGATCTTAATTTTTAAGAATTACTATTGTGCTTTTTTAATTGATAGTGTTTTGTTAGTTATTGGCGGCTAAAGACGACTATATTTTGAAGCAGAAACGTGGCATTGTTGGAAGTTTCCTAGAAAAGTAAAAGATCGATTAGAATGAATAAATAAATAAAAAGAAGATGGGAAATATGGCAATGAATAGGGTCGTATTTTTTTTAAGCGAGATATTTTGGGATTGTACATTATTAATTGCAATGTATATATCCAACTAACAATATCCAACTAAAATGCATTTCTTTAATTTTGATTGGTTTTCTAATTTCAAAGCTGATAACTTTAAATATATATATATTTTTTTGAAATTACACTCTTTGTATCCTACTTGGAAAGAAAAAAACAGTTTAAATTTTACTAAAAATTGGGCTCCCGGTCTTTGTTGTCGTTGAGATCAGGCGCCCGTGATTTATTGACTCCGATATATACATTACGTACTAAAAGTGAATTATCGGTTAGTGAGAGCCGTAGCGGCTCAGGGGATAGAGCGCTCGCCTTCACATCAGGTGATACGGGTTCGAATCCCAGCGATGGCTGGTCGATACGAATTCCGCTTCTGGCTCCTCCGTGGTAAACGTATCATGGGTTAAATTCGCCTTGCCGTAAGGCTAACCATGGGAGGTTTTTGTGGTTTTCCCTCCATATAACGCAAACGCGGGTCAGTTCATCAAAGAGTCCTCCATGAAAAGAAATTTCTCCCAATGCTCGGTCCAGGAGTTCCCTTGTCTTCTGTGTTTGCGTTCAAAATTACAAGGCTACGGAGTTGAACAGTGGTAGTCATAAACTCAAAATTTGGTTGACTGTTCAACAACGGTTATAAAATTATAAATTAAAATATCAGGTAGTGAAAGTTTAAAATTTATAGTCTATTATCATAATAAAAAAGCTAGTTGACATTAGATTTTGCCATGCTTTGAACATAGCATGAAAAAACATTGTTTAAAAAAGGGGGGAATTTAAATGTATGCACTAAAAGATTATTTAATTTAAATATCTTATTATGAAGAACTAAATTAATTATTTTCTGAACTGACTTTCGAGAATAAAGTGCACTTTTCAAAATGATAACCTCATAACATTAACTTTTTGCTTTATTTGTTGCTTCTGTGAGTGGAAAGTGAATAAAATAATCTTTGGCTGATTCCCAAAGATGGTCTCCGCTATTTATGTAAATATTCCCTTTAAATTTGATAGCCCATATCATATTTCTTTTTGAAATAAAACATGAAAATACGTTTAAAGATTTCTTTCACAGTAACTTTGAAAAAAAAAAAGAAAATCTTTCGGCCATAAGCATGTTAAATGTTAAAAGTACATTTCATGAGAAAAGTAACTCGCTCTTGTGAAAATGCCTTTTAAAATGAAAAACATATCTATATAACTTCCTCGAATTTGTTATTGAATGAATATTAATCTATAACTATTTTATTACATGTGCATTTGTAACACCTAGTACGTGCTTTAGGTGCTAAAACGTGGAACTAATGTTTGGTGTTTAAAATATAGTTCAGAAGTTTTGTGTAAGTTTAGAAAGTTTTTTTTAAAGGCGAGTAGACCAACTTTTGCTGACAGTGTTACTTAATTACAATCAGTAAGAATGAATTATATTTCTTATCAGTCGTAGTTTTGTTTAGTGTTTTACTATGCATTTAAAATAGCACTGAGGAATAAATTTTTTGCTACATTTTTACGAATACATGGTTTTGCCTCATTCGGGTATAGTGATTTTAAAACTAAAATTTCTTTTGCTCCAAAAGCTACAGATTTTTCTTTTTTTTTAAATGACATTTTTAGTATATTTTTCGTCCAAATATGTCATATAACAGGGAGTCGCGTAAATGTTGCGACAAACTTCAAAAAGAGTTAGGGCACATCACGAGGAATAAAATTCCATAGGAACCCATGCCCGGAAATGTCATCGTACGCGACTTGAAGCACTTCTATTATGAGCTGTTCTGAAGCACACGAAAAACAATTCATAATAAGGAAAGCGCCCCTAGTGGCATATGATGGCATTTCCAGACATGGACTCCTTTGCAACTTTAATCCTGATGATGTGCCCTAACTCAGTGCTCCTAAATCATTTTATCGCCGCTGACTAGTTAACGTTTGACGAGTCTGCCAGCTGAAGGCTGTGTGTAGGAGATGGTAGAACGTTGATTGTTTGTATTTTAAATGGTTTGATTTGATAATTTTAACTTAATTCTATTTAAAAATGCCTTTAAAACAAAATGCAGTTACATGCGTGGTATGGGTGCTGCTTTAGGTGATGGAGCTTAGTTTTTAAGTTTATCTCAGATTAAGTTTTAACTCGGCTCCTAATTAACCCCTTGTTCATAAAAAGTGGCACATACCCGGGGAAAAAACACCACAGTAAATAAAATATAATTAATTTAATGTTCCTTGAGCTGCCTGGTGAAATTTGACCCACGAACCGGTACTGACCCGCTCTCCCGGGGATTGGGGACCGCTGCCCTATCTCACCTAGAATTTTGTAGCAACGTTTATGCGACTCCCTGTTTGTATATAACGTTTTTAAACTTCAACATTTCGACAAAAAATAGGCTAAAAATGTCATTTTAAAAAAAAAAATTGTAACTTGGAGAAAGAAACCGATTACAGATTTTAATTCAGCAATGTGAAAATATCCAAGATCCATTAAAAAATATCGTAAACAGAAGAAAAAAAGAAAAATTTCAGAGAAATTTATTATGCATTTCCGTTGTTTGATAGTTTATTTCTTTGTTATGCTTTTTTCCTGAAACGTAGATATTCTACACTATCTACCAATAAGTATTTGAACACCTAGGCAAATAAATATATCTGCGGTCCTGAGATACGTCACGACCTCCACCGATATATATCGTGTAGGGAACAACATCGGCCCTAGTCCCATGCAAGATGCCTACTGCACTATTTTGGATGACAATGTGCTTCCTACGTTGTGGCAGTTTTACAGGGTGGACCCCTGTTACTTCCAGAACGACAATGCCAGCGGTTATGTTGCGAGGGTCACCAAAGCTTGGTATGGTGCCAATGAAGTTAATCGAATGGACTGGCCTGCCCAGAGCCCAGACCTGAACCCTATCGAGAACCTCTGGGACGATTTGGATCGCCGAATTAAGGGGTGCACTACCCGCCCAAAATCGGTGGAGGAACTTACATGTCTTCTCCAAGCCGAGTGGAGGAACATACCACTAGCCGTCACACAAGGGCTTGTGGAAAGTATGCCCCGGATTGTTCACGCTGTAATTACTTCTCGTGGAGGATCTACCAACTATTGATTATGAATAAAGTTTTTTTCTTCAGTCACACGTGTCCAAATACTCATTGGTAGATAGTGTATTTCTTATACGTTATTAATTGATGTTTAACTTGATCCGATTTCGAATTTTTTTAATATTTTTCTTGCATTATCTTCTAGGGTTGGTGAATCAGGGGAATGGGAAGAATCTAATGGTATTCTTACTTCAGACAATAGAACTAGTTGGCAAGTTATAGGACTACAGCCCTACACTGTGTATTCCTTTCGAGTCGTTGCTGTTAATACCATTGGATCTTCGAAACCTAGTAAAGAGTCCTATTACATGGTGACTCTTCGAGAAGGTAATTCTATTTATTATTCATATTAAAAGTTTTGATGTAAGTCGAAAATTGCTTTACCTTAACACAATCTGGAAGCAAAAAAAAAAAAAATTAGTTTAAGTCGTCGTTCCATTTCAAATTCGATATGTTTACACTCAATATAAATACACCAAAGAGCCATTACATTATGACCACCCTGCTAATAACATGTAGGACCACCTTTAGCCCTCAAAACTACTAGCACCCGCAGTGGCATTGATTCCACAATGTGTTGATAGGTAGCCTGAGGTATCTGGTACCAAGAGCTCGCCAACTGGTCCTGCAATTCCCTCACATTGCGAGGGGGTAGCGTGGCAGCACGAATTTGGTTTTCCAAGTAGGACCACAAATGCTGTATTGGATTAAGGTCAGGTGAATTTGGGGGCCAAGACATGACTTGAAAGTCACTAGAATGCACCTCGAACCAATCCATGACGATTCGACCCTCATGACATGGTGCACATTATCCTGTTGGTAAGCACCATCCCCCGCAGGAAAAACTGTTGCCATGAATGGGTGAACCTGGTCTGCAACTATGTTCAAGTAGCTTACAGACGTCAGGGATTGTTATTCGAGGATTATGGGTCCTAATGTGCCCCATGAAAACATTGTTCCTGGGCGAGAAACCATGAAAACCTGGGCGAGCCCATTGTTATAGACGGAGAGTGGTCATAATGTAATGGCTCTTCGGTGTATATAGTTTTAAATTGAGTGATTTAGAATATTTTTAAAGCATCTAGGTTTAACTTTAGTATTTCGTTAATTTATTTTTGAAGTACATTTTAACGAGAATTCCTCGTTTAAAAAACATTTTGAAAAATATATTTTGAACTATATAATTTTTATCATTTTTCATTCGAATGTAATATTACCTTTATTTAGTACAAATTTTTTTTTTATTATATATTATAAATGAAACTGATTATAATGGAAATGACTATGAATAATATATTATTTTTTTAATCGCTTTTTTTCCCTTCATTGTTACTTTTAGAGGAAAATCGAAAAACAAGTCATAAACGGAACAGAATTGCTTTTAATAGGTTGTAATTTCTAGAGCTATTTGTAGTTAACTTGAATTTCTGCCTTTGGTTTAAACCAAAATATTTTTATTTTTGTAGATTTCGATTTCGAGGTAAAACCTCTGAATCAACTTTTGAAATGAGTTAGCTTACCAATTGGTTAGAAAGTCTGATAATTTTAAATTGCTATTTGAACTTTTTTGCCTTTGTCTGTTAGTTTCAACCTGGAATGGCGTTATCTATGTGATATAGTAATATGTTTTATGTAGTAATATGTTTTATATACTGAAATATATTTTATGAAAATAAAATCTTCTTAACTGTATAAAATTTGAGTCATACAAGGAAAAGACAAATAGTTCTACGTTTAACTCGCTACTTTCTTATTTTTAGACAGTTATTTCAGAATATGCATTAATATAATCCATTTTAAGAGTTTATTCTAAAGTTTTGCATTAAAATCGAATTCTACTTTAGTGAGAGTCTTTTGAACGAAAACTGAGAAGCAAACTACAAATACCTTGGAATTCGCATGATGATCAGTAGCAACTGTAGTTCAAACCTCCGTGATTATTCGTGTTATTGCATCTAATATAATAACTACACTGTTAGAAATTTCTCAGAAAAATGGTGAAATAATAATTTATTTAAATGTTATTTTACCATATTCAAACAAAACAGTCAAATTACCATTAATAAGATGTTACTCAGACTGTAAACTGTAAGAGAAACCGTTTATTAACTGCTTTCACTTAATGCGGTTACACAACCAGAATTTTATCCCACCAACTAGTTCACTTAATGAAGTCACTCAGTTCTTGCAGCTGAGTACATATTATAGACGAGAGGGCTAACCAGTCAATTTCATGACCTGCCGAACGGGGATTCGAGTTCCAGCTTTGACACAACAATATTTTCTCCTTTCCCTTCAACGCATGAAGAGTTTCCGGGGTTCTGCATTCTCAAATTTGAGACCCTGGACTATTAGAATATGATACTCACATTCGCGCGTAGATGGCATCGCCATGAAGCTGCTTAAAACAAGAATGTCTATCATTTTCAATTTGTTAAGATAGGTGAAACAATCTGATAAATCAATTAAACCACATTCTATTGTTCATTTCATAAAACACAACTCAACCGCATCTTAACTCCAATACCATTACCTAACGAAAAGCTTAACTCTAATCTGCCTTTAAATTTCTTTTTTACGGTTTTGAAACTATTCTAGTTATAAAAGGTTAAAAAAACCGTATAGTTTTGTATTCATGTTTTTTTTTAACTACACTAAACGGTTGCAGAACCTTAAAGGTAAAAAAGTTTCTTTATCGAAAACTTTACGGTTAATTGGATGTACAGACTCCTGCCGGTCATTTTTCCATAGTTTTGGAAGGAAAATTCTAACAGTGTATAAATGAAATAATAATGTGATAACTTTTAAATTTTTCAGTAAAAAATTGAAGATATTATCGAAATTGTGAGACTAAATCTGTTTTGAAAAAAAAATTCATTTAAGGTCTTTATTATACATGTCGATACACACTTTTGAATAATGAAAACCTTTTTTTATTTTTTATTTTTAATTTAAGTATTTTTAACATGTATACGAAACTGTTTGATTTGTAACACTTTAAACATAAACAACTATATTTTAACAGTAATTATCTTTGTTTGCATGTTTGTTTTAGTGCCTGATGGTAAGCCAAACATTACTTATGCCCATAACACAAGTAGTAGTTCAATTATTATACAATGGGCACCTCCTCCGAAACATTCACTCCATGGAGAATTTCTTGGATATCGCATTACTTACAGATTACGGGAAAGAGCTCGTGGAGAAAGAGAAATTATATTACGTGATCCATTGGCTAGGGTAAGAAACAAAATTGGTTTCCGGTTATATTAGTTATGATTTAATTTTCTAATAGTTTGTGCTCACATTTCATTGCATATGGAAAGTTATATGTGCGTGGTAAAATTGTTGGAATCAAGTGCAGATATTGTCTTAATTTATCCTTTATGTCAATGGTTCCCAAATGGTGTTCCACGGGTCAAAGAGGCTCCAAAAGTTTAAATTTTTTAAATCAATAATAATTTTTGAAACTTCTAGTTACATTTATGTCAAAACAATAAACCATTTGGTTATTTTTATGAATTTATTTAAGTAAAATGACTGTAAAAAGAGAAACGACAAAATTTGTAAAAAATCGATCAGTATTTCTCATGGAACTTTTCAATTCAAAATAAAATGACGAAATTAGAGAATGACGAATTATGTTTCGCTGATAACTCGCTCATGCGCTGCAATAATGGCACAGCTCAAAAAACTCGCGTTTTGGACTAAGAACAGGTGTAAATAGGAAAATACGCTGTCTTTTCAGCAGCATTACTAGCACACTTATAATTCAACTTAAAGGTAATCTTCTTTTAAGCAAACTAAAGCATTTCTTATGCATTTTCCTTAGCAATGAAAACTTTAAACCCATTTATATCAAAACATGATTTTTTGAGTTGTGCCGCTATTGAAGCCCATGGGCTAACTATTCTTAACGTTTATAACTATTCTTTTTCCTAAACTATTCAACTTATTTCATTCATTTTCTACTAATGTATGCACCAAAAACCAATTCAGAACAAGACTAGATACCACTTCAAACCAGCGAGTTTGACATAGAACGATTATTGAAAAAAATATGCAATTTTTTGCATTAAATATTATCAATACAATTCTTCTTTCGTCGGTCAATATGTTCATGGCTGATATTAATTTTGTTTATATGTTTAGAGTTCCGCCAAAAGATGCTTGATCATGTAGGGTTCCATAGTCGCAAAAAATTTGGAAAAGCTGCTTTATGTAATTAACTTAATTCCGTTCAAACTGATAATTTTTTTTCCTAATTGTACTAGCCACTTTTTTAAATTTTTGCATAAAAAGTATATAGAAATGTAAGTTTTCTTATAAGAAGTATGAAAATTACTTTCAAATGCAAATGTAGCTTAAGCAGCATACGTATTGCATCGAAAATATAAGTCGGTCCTTGAAGCAAATTGTTTGTTATTACACTAAACTGCAAAAAAAAAAAGAGAGCAATGATTTTAGTCTGTTTGAAATTCGGGCTATAAATTTTTATCATTTAAAGATTCTTAGGGGAGGAAAATGGTTGTTCAAAGATAAAATTTATAGGAAATGAGAATAAAATTACACGAGAAAAAAAGGGAAAAATTATCATTTTTAACGATTTTTTTTACATATATAATTTAGGAGGACGAATCTCCCTCCTTGCTACAAATGTTCATGTTTTAGAACCTTGTTACAAGAAGCTCTTCAAAAGATATTTAGCAGTTAAAATAATCCTTTTCTCCCTCCCACATCAAATTCCTGGTCATAAAGTTATCGATAGTAATAAACTTAAGGGGAGGGCAGTCCCTGAATAACACTGGGTGATGGGGAAAACGGAGGTCATATTTTGATTTAGGAGATCATTTTAGAAAGAATCTACTGTAATGGTGTCGGGATTGATTTTTATACAGAAAAGTGTTATATAGAAAGAGCGTTCCATAAAAACTGAGAGTGAAATCATAAAAAAATTAAAAAATATACTTACAGCAGAAAAAAAAGCATTATTTTTTCTGTATACTTTCTCTCCGATGATATGCAACGGTCTCATCGTACAATCCACTTTTTAAACCAAGTAAAGAAGCCTTTTTTTGAAGAACCCTACGCTACTGATATAACGTCTGATTCTGTATTAAATTTTCTGTCCCGGAGCTTTTTCTTCAACGTCGGAAACTTAGAGTTGAAATAGTAGTCGGAACTCTATGGTCTCAACTCTATGGTCGGCCAGAAAATTGCATGACACGAGATCTGGACTGCAAGGAGAATGTAGCATCGTTTTAAAATTGCATTTACTAAGTTAACTGTATNCTAACAGATTTGGCTTATTGGATGTTTTTTTGAAATAGAGAATCAGTGCATTTGCATGCATTTGTGGTGGATTTTTTGTTTCTTCAAGTTGAAGTGATGAGAGTCCCACCTGGAACAAACATGGCAAAGCTGTAAATTATGAAGAATACGAAATATCAACGGTTTGGAAATATTAGTTGATGCCGCTATCTCTTCACATGACATTTGCCAATTTTCTTGCAAGATTGCCCTGGCGGTGTTAACATTTCGATCATTCTCAAAGATTGCAATAATCGTTCAGACAAACGTCTTTTTTTGAAATCAGTATACCTTCTAAAAATCGTACACTCACCGCAATATTTCTTTATAAGTTTCTTTCATTAACTCAACTGTTTCTGGAACTGTTTTGCCTCAATGATAGCTGAATTTTATGGCACAACGCATTTTATTTTTTAACTCTGTAACTCCGCACAAAACAAAAAAAAGTCAAGTCGTCTTCTTAATAAATGTTCAGTTAACATTTTGAAAAATCTTTTGACTTTTTATCTTTTAGTTTTGTGGGGTTGCCGCAACGCAAAAAATTGCTCTCGGTTTTTATGGAACATCTTTTCTATTTTAGTCTCTAAAAATGTTTCTGTATATTCAGTGTCTCTAAACTACATTTGTAAGCTTCGCCTTGTATAGTCTTTGCCACATATATTGACATTAATACACGTAATGAAACTTATCTATGATAACTGAAAATCTAAACTACATCTTCTTTTTGCATATTTGTATAGAATAATAGAATAGTTATACTCTTACATCCTTACATTTTTCAAAAATGAATACTAATAGCTTTATAACATCGTTATTAGGATTACGTGATTCGTGGATTGAATGCCTTTTCACAATATTTGGTGTCTTTACAAGTATTTAACCCTGCTGGACGGGGACCTGCTACCACAGTAGCTGTAATGACTGATGAAGGAGGTAAACAATTATTGTTTTTGTTTATTTAATGAAAAAATATTTTTTTTAAATCCTTAATTTTTATAATATTTGAAAATAATGAAATATGATTAATGATTGTTATTTTTATTGTGTTATTTTATCTATGTTATTTTTTAATGTGTCAATAGTTGTTTTCCAATGAACTTTTTATTCTAAATTTTCTTATCATAATGTATCTAAAATTATTTAAAATTAAGTATAATAACTTCTATGCTATTTTTATTCATTCTGTTGAGAGAAACTGTTTTCTAAAAACTGATAAAAAATCTAATTATCACATTAACTAATTTTATTTTATTAGATTGCTAATCAATATAGATTGCCTTTAAAATAATTAGGAGAACATTAGATACTGACTTATTTTGTGAAAGTTTTTTTCTTTTTGTGCAGTCTGTTCAGCAAAAACTATAAGTTGTTAATTATATTTTTTGCAACCGCGGTTTAATTGCTGTTACCTACTATAACGTCTGATGATGAGCAATTTCACATTTATTTTGGACTGATTGAATTGTAAAGTTGTGTTTTCTATAAAACAAATATCAATCCAATATCTTGATTTATTTGCCGTTTTATTGGTAAATAATGCCATAGTAGGCTGGATAGGTAAAAAGAGTGAACAAAACCATGTGATAACAAATGTGAAAAGCAGTTCTGAGAAATGGCGAGTAATAACGAGCAGAGAGCATAGCTTTTAATACAAGTTATATCTAAAAGGATCTATGCCAGCAGTTTTGAGGGATTGGGGAACAATAGTGAGCTAGGGGTGATGCCTACTAGTTTACAAAGATTTGAAAAATTTCTCTCTTTTTTTTTTCTTCTTTTTTAAAATTTTTTTTGACACTATAATTAAACCTTGTTTACTTTTTTAATAACAATAAAACTATATTTTATACCCTTTATTTAATCAAATCATTTAAAAGACTCAAAGCAGTTTCTACTTTTATAAAACATAAAGAAGCTTATGCCATATGAAGTCAAATATTGAGGTAAAAATTAGAAATCATATACTTTCATAGTAACTCATATAAGAATGTCTTAAACATAACTTCTTTTTTTAAAAAGAAAAAATGCTTTGTAAAATTTTTTAACGTTTGTATTTATTAAAAAAATTATTTCAAAGAAACAAACTTTTTACTAATCTAATTTAGTTTATAAATTTACTTAGATTTCGTTGAAATGTTGTAAGCGATACAGTTTTGTATTCCTTCTTGAAAACTTCCCTTCTTGCTTAAAATGCAATAATTAACTGCAAAATTCCTAGAATAATGTTTTATAATGTGTATGCCTTCTTAATATATTTTATAATTCACATTAATATCGTATAAAAATTATTAAAACATTAATTTCATTAATTGGTATTTCAGTTATAAAGAATAATTATATAGATTTGTTTTAAGTAATAATATAATTGAGTTTTAAATGAGTAGAATTTTACAAATGAGATGTAGTAATGAGATGATGCAATTTTATGTACCAAATGAAGTATAAACTTCAGGAACTTAACTTTTTCAAATAATGCAATATAACTTATTATTGTGTATGTTTTACTTTTTAGCACCAAGTCGTCCCAGAAACTTGACTGCTACTCGCATTACCAATAATTCTGTTAAATTAAAATGGCTTGAACCTGAACATGCTAATGGTATAATTCAGGGATATAACATATACCACTTAGATGTTGGTCCTAATCATACAGAGAGAAAGAAAGTACTTAATCCTCAGCAAGTCATGGAATATGTCCTAGGATCACTGAGTAAGCAGAAAATTTTTCATTTCAACCATGACAAAGAAAGCTTGAACTTTTACAAAAATAAATAAACAGATCAAAATTTTATAAAACTGAAATTGTTTAGATAATATTTAATTTGTGATAAAATTGGATTAATTATTACATTGCTTAAATAGTTGTTATATAAGAGAAATTTGAAACCTGTGTTTGCTGACCTTTTAGATTAAGGGTATAAATAAAATATATACATCCAATCATGTATTTTTTCTCAGCATGTGAACATACTCTTGTTAGGATTTTCATTCTTAATATTTCAGTTGTTTAAAAAAATCCTTGTTAATGAGCTTTTTAAAATAGCTGTCACATTTTCCATGTTTTTTCTAAAAAACAGCTTTCAGTCTTTGCATCATTTGAATTTTCACCTATTGTTCTTACCAGAAAAAAACCTTAGATGTTGTTTTCAACTTACCCAATCCACCATCACACCCTTTCTTTTTGCTTCTCAAATTTCTTTCTTCTCGTGTCTTATCGAATCTTGCACACCTACCCTATTAATTGATCTCTTTTTTTGCTGTCAATTGTTTGTAATTTTTTCTGCATATTTCCTTCTTCCGTTCTGTGTTTTAGTTCTGAAGAGGTGTTTCATTACAGTACTGAAAGGATTATTTCTGTTTGTGCAACAGTATTTGTGCTTCTTTAATTTTGTTTCAGATTTATTTATATAGATGGTAGACTGCATGAAGCTAAGCACAGGCAGTGCTGGTAGTTATAACTTGTAATAAGACTTTCAGGCTACTACTTCAGATTTATTTGTACGACTAAGCTTAAAAAACTCGCCATCCTATATTTCTATTATACTTGTACTGTTTACAATATGATTTGTGCTATTACCATTCAATTTACGAATTCGTGTAACTTTAACTGAAAGCACAAGAGCCTGAAGATGACAACGGCAATCTTTACACTTTATTTATGTTGTGAAATATATTTCCCTAATGGATTCATGGTTCTTGACCTTTTATAATTTATAAAATGCAGAAAAATCTCATGTACAGAAAAATTATGTGTTAGTTTAAAAACAATTTCAATAATAAAACTTCCTAGAATATCAAGCCTGTTCTTAGATATTCTTGAAAAATTAACATAACGGAAGGATACGCTGGAACTCTTATAGATTCCGCTCCGGGTTAAGTAAATTTAACTTAATAACAATACGGATAACTTAAACCATCTATCTAGTTCAAAGTTAACCTTTTCATTATTTAAATAGAGCTGATTTTCAATTTTTTTTTCAAAATTAACTGTAACACTGAGTTTTTCTTTTCTTTTTCTTTGTAGAAGCTTACACTCAGTACAAAGTATGGGTAAAAGCATACACTGGAAAAAATGAAGGATTTGCTAGTAACAGCTTAGAAATTATCACAGATGTACAAAGTAAGTTAATATAAATAATAATTCTGAATTTTTAAAACCAAAACCAATCTTCTTCATTTTAATTTGATTTTATCTCTTATTTATTTGTAAAACATCTTTCAAAACTCTATGGTAGTACATACATGAGTCTAACCCTCCTTAGATATACAATGATTACAACTAAATTTTAACATCATTTTTCAGGTCCCAGTGAACCAATTATAACAAATTTAACATGCCAGTCTTTAGATAGTATATACATAGAATGGAATCGTCCTAAAGTTGTATACCATAGAATTGATTACTATTTCATCTCATACCGGTCAGAAAATACTTGGGATTTTGAAGAAATATCTTTATCTTCCTCACAGGAAAGACCTAGCCATTCGGTAAGTTTTCTGTCTATACACAAAATTGTTTCTATTATTTAATTCAGGAGCTTTATTGCTAAGATATAAATAAAAATATTGGATATTCTAATACCAACTAATTCTTTATAAACCTATCATAATTTTTTGTGATTGTTTAATTGTTTCAAATCTCTAGATGATAATATCCAATTTAACCTCAAATTTGATGTATGAGGTCAAAGTTCAAGGAGCTAGCCGAAGTGTGGTAGAGCATTCGAAATTATACAAGGGTCCATACTCTGAATTGAAAAAGATATTTTTGCAAAGTAAGTCTGCCAAATTAGCTAGCATTTCAATTTTATTTTTTGTTATGTTTGTATTTATTACATGTTCTTATCTTCATGCATCTTTTTTTCTTTTATTTATTATTGAAGTACACTTTTTTAAGAGAATGAGCTAATACTAAAAAATAATAAAATGAAGAGCCTCTTTATGTTCCCATCTTTTCTACAATTCGTGCTTTTTTAAAATTTTTTCGTCACCCGAAACGTTTTGCAAAAGAGATATTTTAGTTAAAGCTTTTATATAAAAGCTGCTCCTCCATTCTTTAAAATCATATAAAAGTGTAGATAAGACTTTATAGAAAAGGAAAAACAAGAAATAGACTACTGTGCTGGTGTTCATTTTGATCATTAGGATTAAATGTTTCTTTAAAATGTTTTTATAAAATACGCAACCCAATCTATTCATGCATTAAATTTTTACTGCCATTAAATTAATTTGCTCTTTTTTACAGCATTGCTCTTTCAATGTACAGTGTATTAACCTGTATAAACCTGCTTAATATTTTGAAAATGTAAATACAGTTAAAATCTGTTGTAATGACGATTCTCATTAGCAGATAGAATTGTTGTTGTAATGAACTTGTTATTTTAAGCATAAATTTGTAGTTTTGAATGTTGAAATAGTAGTAAAAAGGTCTGAAAGATATCTTTTGATCTTATTGATAGCACTGAATTTTAATAGTGTAAGGAAATTAAATAAAAGCTGGTAGATATGTGGTCTACAAAAGGCATATTCTTATGAAATATGTGTTGCAGGTTTCCTAAAAATAGAAGAATTTTTCTTTCATAAGGGTGAAAATAACTTGATTAAGGGTCGCCTACATGACAGCTTTATAACCATAAAGGGTACAAACTACAATGAAGGGAAAATCTGTTCATTTTCACTTTTCGGTATTGATACTAGTAATAAATAAAAATATCCTCAATATTTAATTACATTCCATATAATGTTGCATAATTAAAGAGAAAAAAAATATTTTTCCACCAAAAGAAATTGACATAATAGCTGGTGGTTAGTACCGTAATGCCTTGCGTATGAACCGTGGATTACCGGATAAAAAACATAATTGTCAATGTGGATAATCAAACGAAATAATTTTTAGGGCAACCAATATCACGAATTCCCTGTCGGTTTTTGTCGTCGTCAGCCATAAAAGTGAAGGTGACATCAGTCACACTGAACATGAAAACTTCGCCAATCAGGCTCTGGTTTCCATCTTTGAATTCCCTTAAGCGGTTTTTTCATATCCATTGTGTATGATCCAAAAACATGATCGTGTGTCTGCCCCCCATTTTTTCTTCTTTACACGAGTTTTATCTTATGCTTTTAGAATATTCTTGAGAATGCAGATTGTTGAATTATGTAATTGTAAAGTTAAATTGAGGAAATTAAATTTATTTTAAATCATATAAGCTTTCCCTTTATGTTCATATCATAGTCTGGATTTTTAAATACAAAATTCTCATTTTTTTTTCTTATTAAAATTAGGTATGACGGCTTCTTCCCTTGAGGAAGCTACCATTAGTGCTGGAATCATTGCTGGAATTGTTTGTGTGACACTAGTGCTTCTACTTGCAGTTATGGCCTTTGTTTTATGGAGGTAACGTACTTTTTTTAAAAATTGAATTTCCTTGTAGAACAGTTCATTTTATAATAGTATTTATTCATAATTTTGTATAATATAAAGAATTGTAAGCAGTTTATTTATGCAACCAAACATTTTTTTGTTAGTTTATGTTCAAAATCAAATAATTTCTCGGGTCATTTCAAGTTGTAACTGTCATTGCACAAAAGCATGCAGAGCTAATTTATTAATTATAAAAATTAAAATTATCTAAAGGAAATAAAAATCCCCAGTTTAAACTCTTATGAATTCTCTATGAAATTTTAATAAATTATGAAATCACTTCCTGTTTAAAATACAGTAACTTTTAAGATTCTGATGCTTAAATGTGCACCATATTTTTTTCAACAAGATCTTTTCCACTAGAAATTTTGATATTTTGACTCAAGAAATTTTGATTATATACAACGTAATAATCAACAAATTGGCAACTGACCAATTATTATGGAGATCAATTAAAGGAAAAGAAAATCTAATATCAGATAAAACCGGTTATCTTGAAAATGCTTCTGAAAGACAATTTCTGTTGAAAGGTGCAAGCGTTCCAGCCAAGTAGAACTAGATAAATGATTATTAATGATTTTTAGCCTTGATTTGCTGCTATCAACCTCAACAAATTAACCTTTGGTCAATATTAATTTCATCTACTTTATTTTAAGGATTTTATAATGGAAAGTAAAAAATAAATAATAAAAATACAATTTAAGTACTATGAATTAAATCTTTAATTTTATATTATAAGAACTACCTTGGTGAGAAGATTGAACTCTTTATAAAACGGCCAAATATTTGGAAAATGTTTTAATTTTAGCTGTTAATAAATCACCTGTACGATAAATTGACTTTTTTTGAAAAAACAAACGCTCAGTTATGAATTCCGACTTCATAAACGAGACAAAAATAAGATTATATTACCAAATATATAGTTTTAATGTTTATGACTAAGCATAAAACTACTAAAAATGTCTTATAATTAATATCAAGCCATAATTTATTCTATCCTAAGAGCCTCCCAAAAGAGAAATGTGCACTATATATACTAAATTTTATAGCAACATTTATTTCATTACTTTTTACAATAAAGATGCCAAATCCACCATGTAAAAACATAGTTTTTTTCATTAAAGAGGATGAAACTATATACTTAAATCAATTTAAATTAAAGATAAAGAGTTTTAAAAAACTATATTTAACACAACCATGTCTATGTGCTCTGAAATGTTTACAAATGGACCAATACATATATAGAAGTATATATTCTCAATACTCTTATTCTGTAGTACTCTCTACTCATCTATTATATTTTGTTTGCAACTTGTTTGTGATAACCAAAGATAAAGGAAGTGTGATAAATCTACACAAATTAACTATTTACTTGTTAACTTTAAGAGGCAACTAACTCTAAGAGGAACTTACTGTAATAATCACAGAAAAAGCTTGTTCATTGGTTGGTTGATCAATAAAACAGATATACTTTTTGTCATGTTTTGAACCATATTTCAAATTAGTTATACGGAAAGTACCTTAATCATCAGTAATATTATAAATTTTTTGAATTCCTGTCTAAAATGAAGTGAAATAAATGAGCACTATAGGGGTGAAGTAAATGATATTTAAGTCAAGGAGAAAAGTAAAATCAAAATCTGATGGATCATTAAAAAGAAAGAAGCGATTAAAACCTGAAAACTTGTTTAATTCTCAAAGGAAACAAAGAGAAAAAATTTAATTATTAAAAACACCTTCAGGTTCTCTGTAGCAATCAAACTATTTTTGATGTTTTCCATTCGCCTTTTTCAATAGTGATTCCACAGATTTTGTTTTTGCATTGCTTAAATATTAATTTATGATCCCTAACTTTCCTATTCTCTTTACTTCAATTTTGATTAGGATTCTTAAAATCTATATTAATAGTGGTGATTATAGAACACAATACAAAATAAAAATTTTGATGTGCATTAAATGTGCCATTATTGTTGTTGTTGTTTCTAATGCTACTTGCCACACGGCCAAGCCTGCTTGGTGAAACCGAGCAAATTTAAGTCAGAGTGTGTGTTTTAAAATGCATGTGTAAAATAATGTGCCATTATTAAATGCATGTACTACTACCAATAAGTTCAATAATTTTTTTCTAATTTCATCTAATTAACTATATTTTGCAATATATATTCATGTGTATTATTGATGTTATGTCATAGTGATGTAATTAACATATTCAATGAATTATGCCTAAAAGTTTTCAATCAAATTAAAAATCCTATTTATAGAAGAAACTGCATCAGTTATGTACAAGTTGATAATTTTTTTATTAAATTAGATGTAAGTTTGTATTATATTACTAAGACTGGCCTGTGAATAGAAAAATGTCATTCAAGTTTGTTAAGGTTTTGATCCATCTATTTCAAAATTAAGGCCATATTCACTTCAATTGCCATTTTTGTGTGAATTTCAAATTTGCCCTTCAGATGTATGAAGAATCTACTTTTTAATCAGCAGTGTTTCCTGTTTAAAATAAAATTATTTGCAGAGCTATATTGTTTTAAACCCTTAAGCTTTTGTTTGATTTAACATGATTTTTTAAAATTTTTTCTTATTGTGTTTTGGAAATATATTTACCTTTTGTTTTATGGATGACAAGGTACATCAAGTTTATTTTTGCATCAAAATATTGCAACACTTGTATTTTTTTTCGGCTATTGTTTATTTTATGCTTTACAAACTTTTCTCTTTTGTTTATATTTCATTTTGCTTTATGTTTTCTTATTTATGCAGTAAATATACAAGGTGTTAATCTGAATTACAGATTTCTTTGTTTTAGAAAATACTTTCAAGCAGCATATTACTACTTAGATGATCCTCCAAGAAAGCGTGTGACATCAGAAAACTCAAAAACTTTTGGTAAGTCCTTTAAAAAAATAATGTAAATTCATATAAAATTTAGGTAATTTACAATAGAATAATTATGTAGGAAACCATTAAGGTTATATTTTCTTCTAACCGAACTAAACTAGCAAAAGGAAAGACATGCAAGGGAAAAATCAAGATATTTTTTTAATCATCATTATTTAACTTTCACTGAATAAGGCTACTCTAGATTTTTGTAAAATTTTTACCAATACAATTCTGCAATCAGAATTTTTTTCAAGACGGATTAATATCCTTGAGTAGCCTGTTTTTAGGTTTCTGATACATATCTTGGTATAATTTGCATAACAGAATTTTTTCAACATTTTCCAAATCTGTTACTGAATTTAAATAATAACAAAACTAAACTTTAAAAAATCTACGCACAAACAACTGCACAGTACTGAATTATCTATCTAAAATTAATAACCTCATAATTTTAACATTTAACTTTTTTGAGAAAAATCCATGAAAATTCTAAAAATCATTGAACACCGATTCCCGTTCTCTAACAAAGTGACTCTTTAATTCAGCACATTTTCTTGAAAGGTATAATGATGACCAATGAAATTCTGTCATTAAAAGTTTTTTAAGAAAAATATTCTAAAATCCAAGATGGCTAGAGAAGAGGCTTTTTAAGACAGAAATGAAGGAAATTTTAATTGATAACAGTTCAATTAGTTCATGTTAATACCTAATTATGTATTTTAAAAGTTTTATGGATTAATGTTTAAGTTGATTGTTTTCTTTCTTTTTTTTTTTTTNTTTTTTTTTTTTTTTTTTTTTTTTTTTTTTTTTTTTTTTTTTTTTTTTTTTTTTTTTGTATAATTCAAAATTGTTTAAATTCAATATATATATAAACTTCAGACAACTTTTCCTTAATACCTACCTTAATTTCATGTCAAAATTTATTTATTAGGACTTATATTGATTGTAAAAAATGATTGAGTGCATTGGTTTCAATTGCAAAACATTTTTTAGAAGAAACTGTTATATTATATTTCAATGAATTTGAGAAAATCAGTCTTGAATGCACAGAAATATATTTCACAATGGCCCTATTGCAAGACATTGTAAAATAAATTAGTGTTTCATCTTTACAACCAATGTTTACATGTTTGTAAACCTTAAAATTGTGTGTTTTAAAATTAGTGCTTACCTTGAAAACTTGTTAATATATTGTAAAATTTTAATACCTTTTAATTATTGCGATAGCAACATTTAAAATATATTCTCCAGATCTATCACGATTTCAGTAAATATCGATAATTATCGACTGCGATGAGTATCAATGATTACTGAAAATGATAAATGTCGATTATTATTCACAATGATTATATTGTGACTAACCAGTAAGTGAAACTCCATCCTCAAGGAAGAAGAAAACTTTTTCCTTTACTGCTGTGTTTGAGAGCTCAAGGACATTGGCAACTAAGTAGAGTTGAGCAAAAGAAATCGTCACGGTGATTTGAATCAATAAAAACAGTTCATTTAAGGGATTTGAATCAGTGGAAACTACTTATATTGATTTGAATCAGTGATTCAAACTATTTGATTTAAATCAGTAACTTATTAGAAGCAACTAATATATGGATTTAAATCAGTGAATCAATAGACTCGATTCACTTCTGATTTTTTAAAAAAAACAGATAAAAAGAATAGAGATATAGGACAATATAAATTATATTGGTCATGGAGAATGCATTTTTGTTTTTGAGATAGACATAACTGAATATTTCATAATGGAAAATTTTGTTAAGATAGTTCTTTTTACTTCAGTTTTTTTTTACAATTAATTTATTAAAAATGGAAATTAGTTACATTGAAAAATATTGTAAAGTATCAATATATTCTGATGGTCTATCACAATATTAAATGTTCTGATTTCACCTAACACAAACTGCCATATTCTACCACAAGGCTCTTCAATCTTCAAGTATTTAGTTATGAAACTCAGATAGAATAAAACAATGGATTTGGTGAATAAGTCACTTAAAATTGGCATTAGATTCCTTTTGGAATTCTTAACCTAATAGATTTTTCCACTATTTGGATTTAATAAAACGTACCCTTCATTTTTATTCAATAAGATCAAGTATCACTTATGTAGACTGCAGGATAGGATACTTTTTGCTGACAGTGATTGTTAAAGATTTTACTTTTTGTACATCAATTAATCATTGTCCTATGTAGCCACTGCTATGTAGGTTCTTATAAATCAGACTTTTATAAGAATTCTAAAATGTATCAAAGCAGAATTTCTAATCTTTAATTCTTCTGTTTATAATATATCTATTCTTTTATAGGTGATAATGATAGCAATCCAATCGATGTTACTGCATGGCCTGATCATGTATGTAGCTTACACGCTGATGGAGATATAGGCTTTTCTAAAGAATACGAGGTAAATGAATTACTTCTTAATATTTTTAAATATAGATATCACATAATTTGAAATCTGAAAAGAAAGAAAGAATTAAGAAATTATTAAAAATTTTATTAGACTGGGCTTAGAAAAATACTGTGCGAACTGAGCTGCAAAAATTACTATTTTTAAACTTTATTATGCCCCGTTTGTTGGTAAAAAAGAAAAAAGCGTAATAAAAAAAGGCAAATGGAAAAAATATATAAGATGTATAAATGGAGAATTAAAATGTAAATAATAATAAAATTCAAAATTTTGATTAAATACGGAATAAACAATGAATATACCATCAAGTTGACCTCCATTATCCAACTAAATTTATCCTACATAATATAAGGGAGCAAATCCTTTATAACCTAATTACCTGTCTATCTTACATGTTGACTGCTGCAATAAATTAAATTTGTCTATTAGTGATATTGAATGCTATTCAAAATCCCTCATGAGTTGATGCGAGAAAAAAAAATTAAGAAACCTTCCATGTTATTATGTTATATTTTAAAACCTCACTAAATTGGTGAAATAGTATTAGAATTTCACCTAAACCCATTTGTTAGTGGACCATATGAAGAAACTATTTCATAATTTTTTTATGTACTATGTCTCCAAACATTTCATAACAAAATAAATTTTAAATGTTAAAAAGAATATAATATTAAGTTTTCTAATTGCTTAAGTTCTTGCGAGTTTATATTTTAAGAAATTACTTATTAACCCTTAGCACTCATGATTCTTTCAGCGTTAAAAAAAAGTTAAGATAAAATTCAGGTCGGTACACACTTACCAAACAATACTTAGAGACCATAAAATAAAGTGATTACTAAAAGTTTAAATAAAATAATTTTAACATTAAGAGTCGTAGGCATTTTATAGTTATCAGTGTTTAATGAGAGTCATCTCTCAAGTGCAAAGGGTTAGATGTCATATGTCACTAACAAAATATGTTGATTTGATTTTTTAATTAATCAATTTAAAGTTAATTTATGTAACAAACTCAGTGTTTCAGATCTAGGATACTGCAAAATAAAATTTTAAAATCAATCATGTTAAAAAATTTTATTACATTTATCTACATCTTGATTAGTGGTATATAAGAAATATATGAACATAACATATTAGAAATGATAAAAAACGACTCATTCCCCAACCACCTGCCTAAGTTGGCAAGTAGTCTACTTTACAGGTTTAACTGTAATTCTTTCAGTTTTCAGCTTATCATTTTAAAAAAGGAATATTTTCTTTGTAACAGAAATATAAAAATAGGTGACTTTTATTGTAAAAATATCTTTTACAACTTTGAATAAATCAAAAAAATTTTTACATTACATATTTACATAGTACATTAAACAAACCTTGTTATGAACAATATGTCCTATTCATCCTAATACTAATTTGCTGTAAATATAATTTCAGATTCTTAATTCGTGCAAATCTGAAATATTCCTTTTATGTGTGGATGATATAAAATTATACTATTTGTAAATGTTAATTTTTATCATTGAACCTTTGTTTTACTTCTATCTAAATATAATATTGGCCAAAAATTTGATTATTAACTGATATTTAAACATTAGTTGATCTTTCAGACTATCCAACAAGCTACTGATTTAGAGTTATCTTCAGAATGCTCACAGTTGATGGAAAACAAGAACAAAAATCGTTATGTCAATATTGTAGCATGTAAGTAGCAGTTTTTAAAACTTTATTTCAAATTTATTAATACTTTTGCCTCATTCTGTTAAAACTGTTCAACAGTTCTTAAATTAATTAAATAATTATTTAGGTATATATGAATTATTTAACGTAATTATTTTCTGATTACTAGAGTATTAATAATCTGATTACTAGAATAAAAGTTATCAGGTTTCTGTTTTTAATTTGCAAACTGCACTTAAATAATGCAGTTTTATCTCGATTTAGTATAACTAGTGTCAGCTTCTTTATATTACAAAACATAAAAAAAATAAGGAAATAAATATAAATTAAAAAAAACACTCTAAAAATAAGCTTCTTATGATATTGCATGGTTTTTAAATTTTTATTTTCATTGCTCTAGCAGCAAACATTTTCAACATGTATGAAAGTTTGTACAGGAAAAAAAATCCAAAATAAAACCTAAGAAAAAATCCTATCAAAGTTTTTAAAAATAAAAAAATAAAAAAAAAAACATTAAATTTTTAGAAAAGTTTACTAAGTTGTGATATTTAACAATAGTTTATTAACCTGCACAAGGATATATTTCACATTAAATCCTAGTAAAGATTTTATGAGCTCACTAGCATAGAACTTTATTATTGCTAAAAAGGTTTGAATCATGAATTCAATTTTTAAAAAAATGAGCTTTTAAGTTTAAATTTCTCCTGTTTTAGTTGAAAACAGTTTTGCACTTTAAAGGAACTTTTAATATTAATTTTTAATGGCAGCATCTCTTTTTTTAGATGATCACAGTCGAGTAATACTTAAAATACTTCCTGGTCAAAAGAAAACAACTGACTACATCAATGCCAATTATATTGACGTAAGTTAATGTTTTAAGTCATCAACTCTTAAGCCTGCTTTTATTGAAATATCAGTACATTCTTAAGATTTATTACTAGGAGAAAAATAGTGGATGTTTCTGTTATGTAATTTTATATTGTAATGAATATTTCAGATTAAATGAAAAGCAATTTTCTTAGCTAAGCCTAATGCACATATTTAAGTACTAAAGTATTGTTGGGCAGTATCTGATTTATCTTTTTGCTATTTGAACAAATGGAATTAACTCAGTCAAATTTTACAAAGACTTCAGCCTTGATGAACAAAGATAATTCTAGTTTCAAACCACTAAATGGAATTAAATAAATTTGGTCTAATATTGTTTGCAAAGACTTGTAGAATGGAAAAAAATTGATAAAAAAACTGACATTAGCAAATTTGAAATCAAATGTTCAGTAGACTACCCTTGAAAGATTTTAAAGGAGAGAAATATTTAACTACATAGTTTTATTAAAAAATTAATTGAAATCAATAAAAATCCTTATAAGCAACATGAAGAAAGTATGTTATGTTTTCCGTAATATCTTAAAAACATTTGTATATGTAATGAAGAACTGTCTGTTACTTAGTAGAAAAAGCATTAGTGCCATATACGTAGGCAGGTTTACATCTTTGAACATTGAATCAAACAAATTGGCAACTATTGAATAATACATATAAGCCAATTTTCTGCTGTTTTATTTATTTTTCTACTAAATATTTTTACACTTTTATCTCTAAAAAGTTATTCCAGATGCTTTTGACAAAAAAGTATCTGCTCCATGTGGCATTATTTTACTTCTCTTTGATACATATTCAGTAGATTGCTACCAAAACTTAATGTGCTCAGGGATACATGGTACTTTCCAGATGCAGGTACTTTCCATATTTAGGCATGGTGGTCTATATTTATCATTTCATTATGGATAATTCTGACTCTAAGTGATGGAAAGGCATACTTTATAAACACAGATATGCTTTCATTCTTTACAGAGGCTAGTAACAGGGTGCATAGCAGTCTTAAAAAATGCTTAAAGGTGTTTATTTTTGATTTACGTTTTTTAAAAGCCCTTAAAGGTGCTTTTTTGTTTGGGGTTTGCAAAATGTGCTTAAGTTTCGATTTTTATAAAAAGAGATTTTTTCTTTGCCATGTTGATTGTCGTTCTAAATTATAAAAAATTCATGATTTTCACAATTTTCTGGGCAATATTTATCAGAAACTAATTATTTATCATGATTACGTAAAGTTTTTGAATTTTATTGATTTTATGTTTATAAATTAAGAACTTTACGATAGAAAAAATAATTTTTATTGCTGCACAGATCCTAATTATAATTTTTTCTTTGGAAAGTGATTAGAAATATTTTTTGAGTGTTTAAAAAGTACTTAGAAGGTGCTTATTTTTTGTTGAAAAATCTGGCTACTCACCCTGAGTTACCTCTTTGATCATTTTCATCATTTTATCAGAACTCCTTTGTTATAGTTTGGTTTGATGTGAGTTCAGGTAACTTTGAGTAATATCTTTGCATGCTGCTCTAAAACAGTTTCATCATTAGAAGACAACTTTTTTTTAATTCAAAAGAAACTTTAATAAAGTCTTTTTTTTTTTTGTTTAAATTAGTTAAAAGTGTCCAGAGTTAAATGTTTCTCTATAACATGTCACTAAATTGATTTCAACAAAATTTGTTACCTACTTTATCTCCAATTATTAAGTTGTAGCTTTGTCATTCTTAGTATTTTTTTATAATTTTTTTTATGTCTTTAGGGTTACAATGAACCGAATGCATACATTGGTACTCAAGGACCTCTTCCATCAACATTTGATGATTATTGGAGGATGATTTGGGAGCAAAAAGTTTATATCATCATTATGATAACTAATCTTGTTGAACGTGGAAGAGTAAGTATGAAAAAAACTGTTGGCCATCATATTTTATTTTAGTAGGCTACACACTGTTTTGCCATTATGTGATTTACTTTTTCAGCTGTCATTAAAAATGTCTTTTCTTTTTCATTTAGAGAAAATGTGACATGTATTGGCCCAAAGAAGGTAGTGAAATATATGGAATTGTGCAAGTAAAACTAACTCAAGAGATTGAGCTAGCTACATATACAATAAGAACTCTTGTAATACGTAATCTTAAAGTAAAAAAAGTAAGTATTAGTTTATTTTTTAAATTGATATTAAATAATAGTTCATATTAAGTAAAATATTAAAAATTTCTGTTTCACTTGAACAGAAAACATCATCTGAAAGAACAGTGTATCAATATCATTATACCAATTGGCCTGATCATGGAGTGCCTGAGCATCCCTTGCCAGTTTTAAGTTTCATACGTAAATCTGCTACAGCTAATCCTCCTGGTGGTGGACCTATCATAGTTCATTGCAGGTAAGTTTTATATGTTTCTTAGTTTTTTATTTATTTACTTATTTCTTTGTTTATAAAATTCATTTTCACATATTTGCTACAACAGTATAACTTTATTTTTCATTTACATGTACAAAAATACAGAACTTACCTATGTGATAATAGTGATTTTTTTTTCTAAGGAAAAATTGATTAGTATTTTTAATAAATTTATTCCTGTTTAAGATATCAAAATGCTCTACAATGGCTTGGAGATTGTAGAAGAGGCGTGATTTTTGAGAAAATCAATATAGTGTTGAAAATAAGATAGCAAATCATTGAACGTGGTTTTTATTTTTTATGATAAATGGAAACAAAAAGTATTCTATCTGAACATATTGAATTGTGAAGATTTTGGAAGTAACATGGCTATTATAGCTTGCAAACAAAACTGGTAAAAAAAATCTGAAATTGATTCTCTTGGGAGAACAGTAAATATATTGGGTAAAAAAAATTAAAAGTTATTTATGGATTTTTCAAGAGAACGTTAATCACATTTATATTAGTTTATATATAACTTTTATTCTTGTCAATTTAAAACTAAATATTGGATGGTTACTAAATTTATTATTATTATAATTTTTTTAAGTTTTATAAACTAAATTATTTTAATATACTTGTATACTATAGTTTTTATTTTACAATGAGCCAAATATTTTGCATTAGGATGAATCAGGCTTAATGTTGCTTCAAAAAAGGCTTTAAAAAAATACAGTTCAATAAGAGAGTACTGCACTATAAGAGGTGAAACCATAATCTTGACGACAAATGTATCATAAAAAAGCTAATTCAGTTTTAATTAACATTGACTGCGTCTGAAAAAATGATTTTTTATGTAAATATGTTTAATTCTATGCATATATAATTTTTCTTTCATAGTGCCGGAGTTGGACGGACAGGAACGTATATTGTAATAGATGCCATGTTAAGGCAAATAAAACATAAACAGTCTTTGAGTGTTCCTGGATTTTTAAAGCATATTCGCCAGCAAAGAAATTTCCTTGTTCAAACTGAGGTAATTTTTAACATAATAAATTAGTCAATATAAAATAAAATCTTCGCTTTGTATTTTAATTTTTGGTTAAGCATTATACTTGAGTTATTTAACATTTTATAAGCATTTTTTAGTTTAATTATTGTTTTTAAATTATTTCTTCTGCAATTTTTCTTGAAAGAATAACAATCAATAGATTGTTCCTCATTTTAGTTTACACGTAAGGAAATAAAGTGCTTCAATAAGGCCTCCTGGCGACTTTAGAATTAAATTTTTTTATCTAGAAGTTTTCAGGACTACAATTAACATGATTAGATATTTATATACTCATGAAGAAAAAAAAATACCTAGTATGCTATGCATATTTGATTCAGTTGATGTGAAGTGGTCCCCCTTTTATTTCTTTATGATAAGGACAAATATGTTACTGTTAGCTATTTCCCCATTACTTACTGTGAAAAATTTTCTGGTTATAATTGCAGGGTTTGTAGTTCTTCTGATGTTCCTGATAAAAATATTTTGTCCTGAATTTTCTATCCTGATATTCCCAATTTTTTTATGTTTTCAGAATATTTCCTAAGAATACAAATGTGGATTTTTATAAAATAGGTTCCAAGAATTGAATAGTTGGAATTTCTGATCCAAAATTTTTTTATTTTTAAATAATGTTTGTAAGAAAATAGCAAAATTTGATTGCTTTGATTTCGGGACTGTCTACCAATTACATATATGTTTCAGACATGTAGCCTAACCCCATTGTTTCAATTCTTTAAAAAGAAAGCAGTCAATTAACAGATTTATATTATCAAATTTTTATGATGATAAATTCATGGGTCATATACTTATTTATATTTTTAAGCAAATGCAGTAACAAATCTTGTAGCATGGAGTTTTGTAGTTTTACAATTATTGATTTGTCTTTTTTATCTGGTTGTAAAAATGATTGATTTCAATCAATGTAATCATATATAATATTTAAATGCTGAATTAAGGGGTCTTCCACTAAATTAATTTTGTACAAAAATGCTAAGCAGTTCATTATGCTTTCATTCTAAGATTATTGAAACCCTACTTTAAAATTATTCAAATAAGGAAATATTAAGCTGAATTACTAATTTTTATATTACCTATATTGCTATGAGAGAATATTAACTGATTGATACTTTTTTTGCAGCAGTACTATAACATGTTTCTGTTTTTTGATTTGGAAGTATAATGAGTTGTTCAGTATTGAAAAAAATTATACTAAAAACTGTTAAAATTTTGTTCTAAACAAATTAATTCTGAAATTAAAAAAAGTATATTCTATTATTCTTATGCCGCAAAATTTGCCTTTATTACACTAAAGTAGAGCATATTATACTTTTTTAAGTTTTCCTTTTTTAAAAGTAGCCTGGTATATGTATACTGTTCTAAAAATGTCTTGATTTTCAACTAGTTTATTTTTTTTTGAAGAATTTTATTCTGATTTTCTCTTCTTAATAAGATATTTATTGACATTTTATATTTCAGGAGCAGTATATATTTATACATGATGCTCTGTTAGAGGCTATTGAAAGTGGAGAAACTGAAATTGCTGCACCAGAATTTTCTCAATACGTGCAGAAATTGAAGCTAACTACTAATGAAAATGAGAAGGAAACTTCCCTGTTGTTGGAAAAACAATTTAAAGTAAGTCAGAATCAATATGTGAGTTTCTTTAGATTATTTTTTTTAATTTCTCAATTAACAATATTTTAAATGAAACACTACACTACTATTCAAAATTATCCTTACAATTTCAACAAATGGAAAAAATTAGACAGTTTTTAGATTTAAGTTTCAGAATGTCATATTATTGACACATCTTGCCTTTTATCAAACTCTTTTTTTCAACTTTGCGTTTAAATAAATTTGTTTTTATTATCTTAATCATATATTTGCTTTCAATGATTTAAAGTGTGATTTTCCAAGATTTCTTAAGTTATAATTTTTTCCTCACATATATATTATTGAATTAATTAATATCTTTGATAAATCCATTTTATGATTAATCTTTTTATACTTTATTACTGCAGCTCTAAAAGGATATTCGGCATTTTGATTTTAAAATTGTTTTAAAGAAATACAATTAGTTTTTGTTAAAAAAAAAACTGCTCTTTAGATTAGCATTTTTAACTAACATTGATAATCTAACTCCAAAACATATAAATATTCATCCCATTGATTCAAAGAATCAATTTTTGTGTTTTTAACTAATTATCTTATATTTATATTACACATTTGAAGAAGTATTACCTATGTATTAAATTGTATGAATGAGAAAATAACGATTTTTTATGACTCGTTTTTTCTAATTACAGCTTGTTACTTGCTTCAAAGCAAAAGATTTCAGCATTATATCAGCCACAAAATCTTGTAATAGATCAAAAAACAGGAACAGCAATATAATACCTGTAGAATCCTATAGAGTTCACATTACACCCAAACCTGGTAAAGATGGATCAGATTATATAAATGCTAGTTTCTTTCAGGTAAATAATTTAATAATATATTCTATTATAATTTGACCACACTTTTCCCCTTTGTAGCTCGCAACCGGTCAAGACTTAAGAGAGTAATTCAAATGCATGATAGAAATTTGATTAAAAAAAACAATGTTCTATTTATCTTGAATGTAAGTTAGACTGCAATATTATAGTTAGACTGCAAGCAATATTATAAAATATATATTTCTTCATTTACATTTTTTCGTTTTGTGCAGTTGCCTGCTGTCAAACTATCCAATTAAAAAAAAAATTCTTATTTTATTTATTAAAATTATTTTCATATCTATAAGTGGATTTCTACATACCAAAAATATCTTGTTAAAATATTTCAATCTCCCAAAATTGTAACATATTTATCTATGCTTTCAAAGTTTTTTTTGTGATAAACTGTTGTAAGTATAGTATTTTGGTTGTAATTTTTGGGATTCTTAACATTTTAGAAATAAAAATTGCACCAAAACAATGCATCAAAATATTTTTGTGATCATTTCAGTTGTTTTGATTAATAAATTATTAGGCAATACAATTGAACAATATACTCTGATACTCTTGTTTTGTACATAATTTTATCATATACTGATTTATTGCTGTATTTTTTTAGGGATTTAACAAATTAAATGAGTTTATCATAACTCAACATCCTACGATGGACACAATTGCTGATTTTTGGCAGATGGTCTGGGATCACAACTGCCAAACTATTGTACTTCTTTCCGATGTGGATGAAAAGGTAAGGAAAACATGACAGCATATCAAAACATAAATACACATATTATTGAGTTATTGAAAATCGTTAAATTTTGTTATTTAATTCTTTATGAAAGTTTTTTTGTTTTGTTTTAGGAATATCCTTGCTTTTGGCCAGATGATGAAAAAGAAAATGATTATGGGACTTTTAAAGTAAAAATTAGTGAAGAATGTACTCAAGACTGCTATGTAACACGAGACTTTATACTTCAATCAATGCAAGATGATTATGAGGTCATTTGTCGAGTAGTTCAGTGCTCTGGGTGGCCAAAAAATTGTTCTCCTATAAGTAGTATCTATGATCTAGTCCATTTAGTTCAGGATTGGCATTTAGAGTATCAAAATGGTCCTATGGTTGTAGTTGATAAGTAAGTATTATATTATATATAATTGTTTTAATTATATTATATATAAATTTACATTTCCAAGCCATCAATTTGATTTACAATTTTCAATCCAATAATTATATAAAATGGAATGATATTTTGAGTTGTCAATTATTTTAATTTTCTTTTGATTAATTTTTCTGAAGTATAACGTCGGGTATTTAAAAATGTAATGTTATTTAGCACTATTTTAAAAAAATTTTTTAGTCATCATCATAAGGAATAAAAAAGGAATGGTGATTTGAAGGCAAATGAAGCAGTTATTGTAGTTATTCTGATAGATTTATGTCTGAAGTCTGAAAATTTGTTCAAAATTCTTGTTTGTGCTAGAACATAATGTCAGTAATATGCACTTTACTCAGTAGAAAATGTTATTAATTGGTTACAGATTTTTAATTTATAGAAAATGTTCCTAACAGGATAAAAATTTTAATTAGTAGAAAATACTACATTTCAAGAATTCCTACTTGTTGCAGATATATTACGTCAGTTTGGCAACCATAGTGGAATTAATTTTACACTGCATTTTTCAAGTCTGCAAAAATAAATTTCCCAAATTCACTTTCTATTGTTTTTTTTCAAAATCATTAGTTCTATATCCTCACAAAAGAGTTATCTCTCTTAGACTTCTGCTAATCTGAGAAATGTTAAACTGATATAAAATAAAAAATTCGCAGCCAATGAGCAACTTTTTACAAAGAGTGTGCTCTTGGTACTGCTTGGCAGAACCTTCATCATGTGTCCCTAGAAATTTCCCAGTGTTTAATATTTTAGGCTACTGTGTGGTCCTGACTTTCTACTGGCAGATCTACATTATTTTGGAGTTGCTGACTCTTATAGCTGTATTTTGTGTAAAGAACATGTTCACATGAATGGCAGGCATCTCTGAAACTGTTCGCCTTGAAAGAGGCTTGCACTTCTTTATACTTTTTACACGCTGTCTAATCCTTGAGATGCTTCGTTCTTGTATTGGACTACTAGATTTATTATTTTTGATAGAGCAAATATAAGGACATAATTAACTTTTTGTTAAAAGAATTATCTGATTTTCATTGTGCGTCAGTTTGCACAATACAAAAAAAAATATATGTTAAATAGGCACACTAGATTTAATTTTCATATTTTTCCTTAGGTTTGGAGGTACAGAAGCAGCAACATTTTGCTGTTTGAACACTTTACAAAAGCAGCTTGAATTTGAAAATTCTGTAGATGTGTACATGTATACTAAGTTATACCACATGCGCCGACCAGGTATCTGGCAAACAAAAGTAAGTATAAACAAAGTTAAACACTTGCATAAAACACATCTCAGTTCTATTGCTAAGAATTTGTAAAAATGAAAAAATAGTCTAAAGTTTTTTTTTTTCATGAACTAATTATTAACGTTAGAGTTGCCCATTGATCGATATTAAAATAAATAGCAAAGATTCTTTTATTCAGTTAGAGTCATAAAATGCTCCCAAAATATTATATTCTAAAATACAAAAAAAAAAAAAAAAAAAAAAAAAAAAAAAAAAAAAAAAAAAAAAAGGATGGGAATAAATTTAAAATTCTAAAATTAATTCTGGTTGAGAAGGGTGTAAATAGAGATGGCAATTTTTTTATTATCTTGATTTAAAATAAAACCCAGTCCCTCTAAAAATGATTATTGCATGGCATTGTCCAACTTTTTCATTTGCACCAGTTAAAATCAACTATGTTATTTAATTATTTGAATGATCATTTTATCGATTTAATTTACAATATTTTGGCAAAAATTAACTGTCTAAAATAAAAGAAATTAAGATGAATTTAACTGTTCTTTTTCTTNAAAAGTTTCAGAGCTTTTTATTCACTTTACTTTTTTGGGATTTTATGAACTGAAAAATTGACAGTTTTCGTGAGAATGACCCATATATTTATACATATAAATGTGTATACAGATATGTATATAATATATTTACTGTTTTCTCCTTTTTGTTTTAATATTTTTTTCTTCAGTTTTCAGTGTTCTTTCCTTGTTTTTTTGCGTGGTATCTTATATACATTTAAAATGTTTACTTATAATTTGTTTTTTTAATTTGTTAGGATGATTATTACTTTTTATATCATGCTGTGGACAAAGGATTGCTAGCAAATTATGAAGTTATACCAGCTTTAAATAGTCCAGTGACTAATGGGCATGTCCTTCCATTAAAAGAGGATTCAGCTATCTGAAACTTTCCTATCACAGTGTAAATATGCAATTTTTAACTGTATAATTTGTGTGCCTCATACAAAGTGGCAATCAGGACAACAAAACCTCGCTATTTTTAACTATGTGGAGGTCACTTTTTATTGTTCTGTACCATATTAACTTGTGATATAATGCATATTTTCTAAGTGACGATAGAAAGAATAAAGGTGACAATCTTGACAGATAAAGATCAGGGTAATATGTTTTTATGAACTACTTAAATTGAGAGAATGGTTAGTCAATTTGTCCAGTATCTCAATTAAAAGCTATGAATTTGTCATTTCATTTGTAATAGGTACTTAATCGCAATAGATTTGAGTGCAGATTTCATTCTTTTTTGTCTTTTTTTTCAAGATGTGGGATGAAAATAATCTTGTATGACAGATTTTTAAAAATATTAATCACGAGCATAATCTATATTCAAGCAAGTTACAATACAAGGCAATATCTATGATTTATATGCAACTTACAATTTTCTGATTTGCCGAATAAATTCTATTTTTGTTTCTTGTAAAACTATTGGATGAAAATTTACCATATATAGCACAAAAATTCTTATTATGATACTAAGAATTTTTTTTCTTATTTCTTCCTGAGTATCACATTACTCTACTTTACTTAAAGCAATTTAAATATTTTTTGAATATTTCTTTAATTTTTACTTTTGAATTTTTCAAAAGTGGATCTAGTATTTAATCTCTTCTGTAAATCAATATCTGTATCATTTATAAAAAAAATATATAAATTAATATCAACTAAATAATATTAGTTACTGAAGTATATTCTTTATAAGTACTTACTCAGTGGCACGACAGCCCCTGAGGGCTAAGGCCAACTGTGCTCATCTCAGTTTTCTTGACCTTGGGCTCTGGAGTGCAGGAGCAGATGTTCCGGTTAGGTGGTCAGCCGAACGCGAAATCCCCAGTGTTCTTTATGAGTAACACTTTATAAGTAACCCCCATTCTTTATAAGTAACACTTTAAATTAAAAGGTGTACTATTGTAAGGTTAACTAATTTGTTTTTACTAATTATTAGACATTTTTAACTATAATAGATTTGGAAATAAACGGAAAATTATGCTAACTAATTTAAAAATGCTAAATATAACCTATTTTAATAAGCTACAACAAATTGCAAGTACTATTTAGGTTGTTAGTTTCATAGTACATATTTCTTGTTTTGATTCATTATAAATAATCGTTTTTTTAATGATAATGTGGAAACTTTATGTTTATACTTAGCATTCCATATGTATTTATGGGCTTGTTTTAAATATATATTTTATTTACATTTATACCATATTATATATATATCTTTGGGGTTTCTAGTTTATCTATATTTTATTTAATTACAACTTCTCACCCTGTATAAATTATGCAAAATTTAATCATATGAGTTGAGTTTATTTCCCACATCTTGAAAATTCACTTTTCTGCAATAATGATAAAAATTTTGCATTTTATTGTTATGTTTTCATTTAATATTCTCAGATAAATATCAAAACCTTTTTCATAAATTAATTGTAAAGAAATCCAACGCTTTAGCATTTGTTAATATTATATTTAAAAATTTAGTTTATACATTTTGTTTGATCTTTGTTACTTGGAAATGTAATTATGCAATAAACGTTATATATGAAACTTTCCATGAATAGTTAGTCTAGCTTCAAAATGTGTTGTATTGTTTTTGTGAAATTTGCTGTTGTAAAATCAAAAGATTGCACGTTAAAAGCCAACGCCTTACATTTGTTGTATGTTATTCACTATGTCTAAAACTTTAAAATACTTTGCTACTATCTATCAATAATTTTATAAATTTGTATAAGGTTTTGATGTGAAATTACTTTTATAGAATTTAGAAACCCTTTTATTTGTTGTTTGTCAAATTTTAAGAGTTTTTGCAACGTCTGATCGGTATTTAATGATATTGATATCATTTTGATTTTCTTTTCCAAGTAGTATGCCAAGTATATTTAAAAAACGAGGAAAAACTATATTAATTGAAAAACTAATCAGGAATAATGAATAGGTTTTTTGTTGAAATTAAAATATTTCTATTTTTCTAGGATTATTTATTTATTACCGAAATATTTTCTAATACTGTACATTTCTCTTTTTTTTCAGAAGTTTAGTGACATTAAAACCATTTTATTTCTTACATTCTAGTATTTAGGGATTTTGGCCAAAACAGATAAAGCATGATTAATTGAATATCTTTTCATCATTTGAATTGTCTATCTTATAGAAATAGGAATTAATATACTTAAAATTTATTTAAAGAATAGTTTTTAGAGGTTTATATGGCATTATAATTTTCATTAGACTACAAATTTTATATCTATATTTGAGAGACACTTTCTTCAACAATTTGTAAAATGTATGTATTTAATTACTTAAGACTTATAAATTTCAGACAATGTGTCAAATTTTACGCCTAGACACTTCTCCTGATAGCAAGTGCTCTGTGAGCAAATTACTTGCAAGTAGTTGTACTTACTGATTACTTAATTAATTATTCCACACTAATGCCCAACATTTTATGAACTCAAAGTATTTCTTATGAATAATTTATACTCATATAATTGTCATATTTAAAATTGTATGCAAGTATTAAGCATTTTTTCAATACAAATATACTTAGCATTTATATATTAAATGCACAATATTTATCTTTTTAAAAATTAAAATATTGAAACATAGTTAATATATTTTTGCACATCCCTTTACTATAATTGTTTTGGCATTCTTACTAGTATATTATCATTTAATTTTGTTCTATAAATGTGAAAAATAGCTTGTTTAAACAAGCATTTTTTACTAGAGTTTTGTTCTCTTCCAAAATTAATCATTATTTATTATTTGAAAAGATTTGAGATGTAATGAATGAAACTGTCTTCCATTAACTATGCAATTCAAAACCATAACAACTGAACATTTTCCCCATAAGTTGAACTTATATCTATTTATTATCAAATCACTCATATATTAAACTCAGAAATGTCTTAAATCCCATTTTTAAAAACGTACCTTTTATTTAAAAATATTTTATGTGAGATATGGAAATGCAAAACCACTTATAAATTGTAAGTAAACTGCATTCTAAGCTTTTATTTGTGATTTTTCTACTTAAATTGTAAACTTTGTCCTCTTTTTAAATTTTATGTTTAAATTAATTGTCACAAAGGTTTTGTCACTATATGTATGTATGTTTTCCATTTAGGCCATCATTATGTTTTTCTTTATCATCATTTCTTGTTCAAAAATATGTACATATATTTTTATTTGTTTGTGTCAAAATGCATTCATTATAAAAAAAAAATTCATAATCTAGTCATTATAATGCTATGCATTCTATGTTTAAGGGGTTTATGTACATTTTTCTTTGTGTTTTTTAATCACAATTGTTTTTGATACATTTTCTTCAACTCTACATCTTTTACTTGTTTTGTGATGGAATAGACTTATTTAAATTCTTAATGTATTTTTAATTTTCAAATTTCATAATATTTTTTCCTCTTACTCAAGAACCAAGACAATAAGAATTTTGTATGCTTTTTTAATCTAATATTCTTTTTATTTAAAATTAAAAAATTACTTTTAATGAGCAATACAAGTTTTGAAAGTGCTTTAAGTACAGAATATATTTCTTTATAATGGGAAATTAATTTTTAGTTAATTCTTGTCTAAAAAGATACCTGGTATTTTAGGTTACACTCATTTAATCATTTTATGATAACTAATTTGGAATGCTTTTTTATTCTATAAAACTAGTTTCTAAATTAAACTGACAAGAATAAAAAACTAATTTAAATTATATTCCTTAAATTTTATTGATCTTGACAATTTGACTTTTTGTGATCTTTTTAGTAAACTTCATATAATACTCAAGACTTTTGAAACGAAGGACAATGAAACGAAGTTGAAAAAATAATATTGATCTATTCTGTTTGTAAAAAGTGATGTTAAATTTTTCTAGAAACAGTATTCATTAGACAAAATTAAAATTTGAAGTTAATATAATTAGAATAGCTTAGAAAAGAAAATGCAATAATTTGTTAACATATTTATAGTAGATTAAATTAATATAATTATAATAGCTTAGAAAAGAAATTAGCATATTAATAAAAAATTAAAATAAAATAATCATTTCATGAAAATTAAATGATTCCTATGTTTACAAAATTCATTTTTTCCAGCAAGTATTTCATTTATCAGAATCATTGCAAAATCTTCTAATTTTAACCTAAATTATAAATAATGACTTAGGAAAAATTTATAGTGAATGGTTTCTCTTTTGAATACTTAATAGTAAATTCTACTGCCTATACTATAAAAAGATGATAAACCCATAAGTCATGTTAAAAAATTCATTTCTTTCAATAATTAATAACTCATAATTTAAATTAGAAACCTTTTAGTTGCTAAAGTTTACTATTAATCCTTAAATATATCTGATTTTTTACATGCGTGTGAACATTACTTATAATTTAAGTATTTATAAAGATAATGATATATTTAAATACCTTGTATTTCCTGTGATGAAACTTTATATCAAACTATGCAATTAGGAAAAGAACATTTTCATCTGTAAGGTAAGAGTGACAATTAGGCTGTTATATTTTTTTTAATAAAGAGTAATGAAAATCTCTTTACGTGGTGTATTATGTTTGTAAAAAATATTTGTGGAATATTTAAACACAGTTGAAATTGGTTTGCTGTTAGTTACTTGTAATAAATATAGAAGTGCTTGTAAAATTGATGTTTGGAAAAGTGATGCATTATGCTTATTTCATTATATGCCACTAATGTTACTGTTCAAAGTAAAAATGAAATGTATGCTGAATGATGAAAGAGTGAGTGAGTTTCATTAAAAGTGGGAAAATCAATTTGAATTTGCTTAAATAAGTTTCTGAAAAAATCATTTATATAATTTTAATTGTCATTATATGAACATCTAATTAATAATTTGTAATTATAAAAAATATTTTTTAATAGTCTAATTTGTAAACTACTTTGGTAAATGAAGCAATTTGACAGTCTTCTACTGTAGATTAGTATTAAACATATGCCATGCTTGAATAATGTATGTATAATATACAAAAATTTATAAACTGCTGAACAGTCTTTTTATCGCAATATGCTATATACAGTGACTGAGCAATAAATTTTTAAATTGTGAATCTCATTTTTATATTTATAAAGAATATTGAAAATCAAAAGTATTTTTATTGGAAATTTTTCATATGGCATTTACTCTAAGTGCAAGAGTAATTTGTTTTCGTTAAAATTTTTTAGCTATATTAAGGACTTTCTGTTTTCTGCATATCGAATATATAACTTTATACAAAAAAGAGAAAATTTGAGCATAAAGTTCTACACTTTTATTTTTGTTCTACATGTTTAGAACTTTGTAAATTTCATTGATCTATAAAGCATTCAAAAAGCGATAAACCTAATTAGGTAACCTCAAGTTATTTCATAATAATTAAATTGGGGGTAATAATGTTAAATTAATGTTTAAATTAAGGGTAAAAAACCTTATCGAAATTTGCTGAATCATTTATGGTGTGATTAGAAACTTCAAATGTAGTTTATTTTCTAGGGGAAACTAAAAAAAAACTAAAGACGATTGTCAAAAATGACTTTCAGTTTCTGCACACTGGTTTTGAAATGTTTAAGAATTTTCAATGTATAATCTGCATATTTTTTAAGAGAATTCTAAAAATAAAAATTAAGAACGGGGATTACAAAATTCCCTGTTATAATACCGAGCATGTGTTTATTCTACCAAGAAATTTTAAACAACTGACGATAGTCTTAAACTATTATATCATCACATGCATCTTTAATTATAAAGAGCTAAAAAAGCAATATGAAATGCAATAAGAAATATGCTTAAAAATATATATTTCTTCTGATCACTTTATGGATCGAATAAAGTATCTGTAATGCAAATTTCAAATTAAGATTTAAAGAGAACTAAATGTTTATAAATTTTGTTTAGTATATCAACTTTATGTTAGAAGGTTTGCTTCTTTTTGAATGCTGTATTACATTGGAATTATTTATTTTTAAAAGAACATTATTTTATGTCAAAATCTTAGCTACGTTTTCTTTAAATTAAACATGAAAGTTGGTCTTTGTTTTGAACGAAACATTAATATGTTAATGTGAAACATATTCCACTTATTGCATTGTGATGAAAACCACAGGTTTCCCGAATATTAGCTATAGTTTTTTTAAATCTTTCGCACATTCCTGTATTTGTCTGTTATGAACTCATGTGTTCATGATTCGTTGTTAGTGGTGATGTAGAAAGATTTCTTTTTTGCAGTCTTTACAATAGTAAACTTAATTATGTGATTGCTTTTCCATGGAAGTGCTATATTGATATACTTTTCATACTCTGAGCATTCCTACTATAAATATGTAATTTAATTTTTGACTCTATTTTACATGCATTTTTACAAAAAAAGTATTTATGTTAGTGGGATTAGTAAACTTTTTTTAAGTAGCTCCGCACTTTTTTGCAATATTTATAGTTATACCATTCAATATACTTACGAGTTTCTATGCACAAAATAATTATTCGGTAAATGTGTGCACTGTAAAAACCTGGCTATGGTAATATGTGTATATAGTTGTATTTTGATGTAAATACATTTTTGTGAGTTCGTAATAAAATTGCTTTACAAATATTGTTTTTATTTTTAAAAAAATTTAAACATAGCATCATAAGCATATAAATAACATTTTGCTGCATGAAATAAAAGCCCAGACCCCATTCTAGCTAATTTCTAATGTAAAATGCCCTCCTGGTCATAAATCATTAAGGTCAGGAATTTGGTTTGAAGGAAGGAAAAGAATTATTTTTACCATTTAACTCGAGGATATATGGTCTACTACCAGTGAGGGAACTGTATACCTTTACTGGTTTTATGATAAAATCTTAATTGCAATTTTTTTATTGATGCAAAAATTTATTGATTTTTTTCATCTAAATCTAATATCCATCTTCATATATAGTTGATCTATAAAGTTTAAATGTAATAAAAAGGAATTCATATGTGTAGTGTTAGTAATTTGTCATAACTTTTTTTATAAAATTTAGCTTTAAACTATATTATGAGTTTAAATTAAATGGGAAAAACCTCATTTTAAATTGACTGAGGGAATTTCAAATCAAATGTAGTTAGAAAGAAGAAGTTTTAATAAAACGTTTCTTAATAATATTAAAAAAAGAAATACACATAAAATTTTGGGATTTTTAGTGTTGCTTCACAAAACAATTTCCCACACTACAACACTGCTTAAACACTTTCTTTATGAGGGGCTGGAGAGGTGATAAGTTCTAAAACAGGAACAGTTGTAGCAAGGAGAAAGGTTTTTTGGGGTCATAACTTGTGAAATAAATAATCATTACACACATAATGATTTCTCTTTCTTTTTTAAACTTATTTTCTATTCATCCGAGATATGAAAATTGAAACAAGACTATCTAGGTTCAAATAAAGGCTGAGAAAAAATAATTCATTGTATATTTATTTAAATTTTTTTTCTCCTCAAACGTATTAATTCTTTGTATCGCCTCACACGAGTGCAATTAGCAAGTTTTGCATTTCTTTCTTTCAATACAAATCTGCTAAACGTATTTGTATATTGGATTCAAATTAGAATGTCATGGTTGCAAGAAGTTCTATAAAATGTATTTAGAGGCGTTAAACTGAAGCTGATTACAAGTATGATTACTACCTAAATTATGAGATCAGCTTTATAAATTTAACTACATACTGGGACTACATACTTTTAAATGCTTCTAATAATACTTCTAGAGTTAAGAAAAGATATAGAGTGTTCCATAAAACCACCCTCAGCCAGAGATGAGTTGAAAAAAGATTATTAGAAAGATCTTCAAGTTACACCAGGCAATCAAACAGGTTTTGAGGCACTCAGTATCAGTACCCCCTTCCTCACAATTAATTCAACAGATTTCGATAGCGTTTTTGTTTCTCACTCACTTAAATACTAATTTCCATTATTATGTGCATACTTTTTTACTTAATTATTAAGAAGGTTTTTTACTGTGTATATTAAAGGTAGTGTTTAAGGAATTAATGGAATATTATTATTCCATTAAT